GGTTCCCAAACTTTCAGCCTGACCAACAGATGTTTTACGATATTTAGAAATTTTCATTATATTTGGAAAGTTTTTATTTATACATATAAATATATAAATCTCATTTTAAATTGTATATTTTACTTTTTTTATGATTATGTGGCACACTTGACTTACGTACCTAACGCATCGGCATCAGCCTCTTTTTCACAGCTTTTTTTTTTTACATTGTCGCTATGTCTGTCACGTTTGCGGTGCTTTTACCATCATTTCTACATCCATCACGTCCCAGAGAAGGTTAAACCTACATCAAACCCAACGTTTGGAGCTCGTAAACTTCACACACTCTCGTGCAGCACCAGCTGTCTGATGCTGCAGCAGCGCCAGTATTCCCGGCTGGATGAGTGAATTTCTTCATCAGAGTCAATATTCTATTCTGCTTCATAATCAGAGTCAGTCATTACTAGACAAAGTGATCAGTCAACAAAGACCAGACCTGCCGGCAATTATACATTTTAGCTCATATTTGCGCTCTTCATGCTGCGCACATCTCCTCCTCTCCCCGACTGGGAACCTCTCGGCGGGAGGCGATTTTCAAACTCTTAAAAACTCCAAAACTTTGCTCAGCCTGAAGGTTCCACATCTCCACTATCTTAAGTAGTAACTTCATGAGGGATCATATTTGTAGATGAGACTTGTTAAAGTCACCAATGAGGCTTTGGCACTTAAAACGAGTAAGTCCCAACACTGACAACAACGTACTGAAACTAGAACCAACATGCATAAACAAACAGATCGGTCCAGCCTGCTTACACTGTTGGTCTTTTTTAAATACGCAGTAATCGTTGCTTGCCTTTTTCGCTTCATCCGGCATCCTAGCAGCAACCACTTTTGCGCCTCTGGAGTCAGTGTTTGTTTACGTCATGCTGCATTCAATGTAATTGGAAAAAGGAGCATCAAGCGCTAAACCTCAGATTTTGTTTTCTTTCTGGCCTTAGTTGGGGGGGTCGGATAGGGGTCGATCTGAATCTGGGGGGGACAGATCCCCCCTGTCCCCCACCCTATCTGCACGCCTGTCTATAAGTGCCCCTTTTTTTTACTTTGAGCACCCGCCCCGCAGGCAAAATACCGGTCTGAAATCTCCATGGCTACAAGGTAGAGCGAGACAGGGTATCTGCAGGTTTAAGGGAGCCAAATTTAAGACTTTTTAAGACCTTTTTTAAGGCCACTTTGACCAAATTTAAGCCATTTTTAAAAATTAAATTGAAGCTATCATTTCCAGCTATTGCCTGGCTGGAACCGGTGCCAACCACGTCGCGAACTTGGGATCAACCATCCAGTTATGATTAAACTTGCACTTCCCCATGGTGCAAGCTCCCACTAGCTTAACCAGCTAACATGCTCATCTAAAAATAACCCCCTTTCACAACCAACTGAATGTGTACGGTTCCACTTATGCCAACATCATACACAAAAAATGCTGAACACTAACTAGAAATTCAAGAAAATTTTATAGAAATTAAATAATCTTGTTT